ACCGGTCATCAAAAAAAAAAAAAAAAAAAAAAAAGATATGGGAAAGAAACATAAACAGCCCTTCCACTGCACCAGTTACTGCCTTAAGAGAGGATTGATGCTGATTATAAAAGGGCTTGAGGGGCCGGCCCGGTGGCGCACTGGATAGTGCGCCGCTTGGGAAGCGCAGCGGCGCTCCCGCCCGAGGGTTCGGATCCCACATACAGACCGGTTCCCGCTCACTGGCTGAGCGAGGCGCGGGGGCAACTCCGAGGGTTGCGATCCCGTTGCCGGTCCCGGTCCGGTACGGGGGCGACACTGAGGGTTGCCATCCGTTGCTGGACACAGAAAAAGACAAAAAGACAAAAAAAAAAAAAGGGCTTGAGGCTACAAGGTCAACCTCCTGCTTTCTCTTACACGTGTTCTCTTGCCCTTCCACTTTCCACCATGGGATGACATGAGGGCCCTTGCCAGATGCAGGCCCCTCGACCTTGGACTTCCCAGCCTCCAGAATCTCCAGAACCATAAGAAACAAATCTCTGTCCTTTATAAATTACCCAGTGTCAGGCTTTCTGTTATAGCAATACAAAATGGATTAAGAGGGCTTCTGGGATGCTGGCAATGTTCTATTTCTTAATGTGGATGGCAGTCACATGGGTATTCACTTTCTAATAATTTCCTAAGCTGAAAATTTACATTTTACACACCTTTCTGTATGTATATTTCACATTTAACGAAATGTTTTTTAAAACAAGCATAAGACTAATTAAGATGCTGTTTTAGGGTGAATTGTGCCCCCACCCGCCAAATTCGTATGTTGAAGTCCTAACTTCCAGTACATCAGAATGTGACTGGATTTGGAATAGGGTCTTTAAGGAGGTAATTAAGTTAAAATTAGGTCATTAGTGTGGGCCCTAATCCAATATGACTGGTGAGAAAGAAACTTGGACAGACAAGTCAGAGATAAGACAGCGTAAAGACATAGGCCATCTAAAAGCCAAGAAGAGAGGCTTCAGAAGAAACCAACCCTGTTAACACCTTGATCTCAATCTTCTAGCCTCCTGACTTGTGAGAAAATAAATTTGCTGTTTAAGCCACCAAGTCTGCAGCACTTTGTTATGACAGCCCTAGCAAACTAACACAGATTTCTTCAGACATAAAACCCTAATATGTTAAAGAAGTTTGACCACAGTAAGGAAAGGTGTGAATAAAAGAAACAATGGTGAGAACAGGAATTGATCAAATATACTGATACATTTAATAAACTACTGATAATAAAAAACAAAAAACCCCCAACTTTTTGTGTTTAAAAATGTAAAACCAACAAAATAAATTTAGAAAAATAAGATAAAAATGTAAAACCAAAATATTAAGATCCCCGTCAAGCTCTGGAAACACTTAGAAATTTTGAATAACCATATACTTTATTGGATAAAATAGATTTAAGGTAAGAGATAAAGACTTGGAAGAACCAAATACAAGAGAAGGGAGTGAAGCCTAATCAGAGCCACAGAAGGCAAGTCAAAAAATGCCATATGGACTTCCAGCCAAGATGGCAGAATAGACAGTCTCCAGCGTCACTCTCTCCCACAAATCAACCGATTTACAACTATAAAAAAGCAACAACAGCCGAGCTGGGGCTGCTGGAGCTCAGGGGAAGAGGAGGAGAAACCTACGGAACGTATGAAGGTGGGAGAAACCACAATGAGAGAAAGAAAAAACCACCCCGACACTGCGAATCCTGGCTGCTTCCAGGCTGGAGCTGCTGAGTGCAAGGAACAGGAGCTGGCAAAAGCTGCAGCTGTGCCCTTCAGATGGAGTTACTTGGAGGCGGCAGGGGAGAAAAGGGCCTTCGTGGCCCTCAGGCCAGTAAGACCTCTAATAGGGTTCCCATGGACCCACACAGGAGCAAGTAGCCACAATAACTGGAAAAAAAGGAGCCATTCAGAGGCCAGTGAGTCATCACAAGGGACCAGCACACAGCTGGTCCCATAGGAAGTGTTTGGAGTACAGGCGGTGGGGGAGATGGGCCCACTGGGGGAACACTGGGGCACAGCAAGGACAGCTGATCTGCCCCCCAATCAGCGTAGGGCCAATCAGAGGAGAATGGTCAGGAATATAGAATTGCATAGGGTACAGCTGGATGAAAAGACTCAGGCCCAGACCAGAGTTTCTAAACAACCCAGGTGCACCAGATCTAACTAGACCCAGAAGTACCTATAAAGTCAACCATTAAAACCTGAGCTGCACAAAAAGCCTTCCCCAGGGAATCAGCAGCAAAGCAACAATTAGCTCAACCACAGAGCTCAAGTGCTGGTCCCCACAGGAAGTTCCCCCATTTTAGAAGTAAGCAAAGGACAATAAACTAGTTCCAGCACAGAGTTAAGTGGTGGGAACAGGAAATAACCCAATACAGAACTGAAAGAAAAAACAAGGTACCCACAACCATAGACAAAATTTGATATTAACTAGAAAAGGTCTCATTTCACCAAAGAACACCTATAGCACCTAGAAGGACCAAAGTCCCCTGGGCTACCAACCCAGAAAGGGGGGAGAGCCAGGGGCCTCAGCCATGCCCCTGGACACCCACGACTAGTCCCAAGGGTGGGGGCCGAGGGCCTCAGCCACACACTCCCCAACACACGCAACCACCCCAGCAACGGCCACCAAGCCACTGCAGGAAGCACCCTGGGCTCTCCAGAGCTGGGGTGGTGGGGGGCAAAGGCTTTTGCCATACCCCCCTGGCATCTGCACCCAGCCTGGCAATGACCAAGCCACCTCTGGAAGCCCTCTGGTCTTCCCTGTGGGAATGAGGGGGGTGGTGCAGGCCTCAATTCCGCCCCTCCTCCTTCCTCCTTCCTCCATCCCATTTCCTTCCCCTTTCCCCTCCCCGCTTCCTCCCAATTGCTCCTCAACAACTTCATAGAATGTAAAAAGATAATATTTTAAAGAAATTTTGGGGCCGAGCCCGTGGCGCACTCGGGAGAGTGTGGCGCTGGGAGCGCAGCGATGCTCCCCGCCGCGGGTTCGGATCCTATATAGGAGTGGCCAGTGCGCTCACTGGCTGAGCGCGGTGTGCGTGACACCACACCAAGGGTTGCGATCCCCTTACCGGTCACGAAAAAGACAAAAAAAAAAAAAAGAAATTTTGAAAAATAGTGCACCAATAAAAGTATGGAAAAAATGCCATGTGTAGAAAGCAAGGAGGGGTTTAATTTCAAGAAAGAAGTAATATTCAATCATAGTAAATATTTCAGAGAAGTTGAGAAGAATAAAGTCTGAAAAAAGGCCGCTGCATTGGTTAATTAGTTGCTCATTTATGAAATGACTTTCACAGAACAGCAGGGAGAAGCCTCATTCTAAGTGGTTAAGAAGTAGGCGACAAAGGGAGCATATACACTGAATAGAGGCTCTGAGAAGATGGGAGTGTATGAAATCAAGGCTACAGGAAAGGTTTTTCATAGTCAACAAGGTTATGTATATCTTCATAAATGGAAATGAATGAGGAGGGACAAAGATTTCCAAAGTAAAAAGAAGAGAAGCCAGCAAGCTCATATTATAACATGATTATCAAGTGGACAGATAAATACTTCACTTGGAGTGTCACTGTGTGGGGGGAGGTTGGAATGGAGGAAATGGAGATCAGCACTACAATGGAGAACAGTTCTACAAGGGGCGTTATATAAAGGGAGGTGAATGAAAAGCCTCTCGAGTAGAGTTTTGACTATGAGACCCACGGTCATACTACTGGCAACTATGTTACTTTCTCCAGCAATGACCAGCAGATCCAGAGATTTATCCCGGGCTAGAGATTAACAATGTAGAAATGATGGAACACCAGATGGTGAGATATAATAGTAGAATCAGCTGGAAATTCAAGCCCTCCTGCCAGATCCCTGATCTACAGCTGAATGATTTAACGCTGGAACTCCTCGAGAAATTCTACAACTGATCTCACACTTCCTCCGAACAAAGCTGCATCTAAACCTGCTGGGGAGCTTGTTAAAAAGCAGATTCAGATTTAGTAAATCTGAGGTGGAGCTGAGATTCTGCATCTCTAACGAGCTTCTGGTTATGCCACACTTCCAGTAGCAAAGTAACCATACTATATTGGTTAGGTTTAATGGTGGCACCTACATCTATTTCTTGTCAGTGTTCATTAGTCTCTCTCCCCCAATTTCTATTTTTACCATTCTTCTCATCTGTCTCACGCTTTGGTACTAATAATATCAAAAGTATAATATATGTAATAATAATAGCAAATATTTTGTTACTATGTCATTTGTCACAAAAACTCTTGGAAGTAGTACTATTACCTTCATCTTAAAGATTAGGAAAACAAGTCACCCAAAGCCACTGAGCTAATAAGCGGCAGAATCCAGACTGCCTCTACCTAAGCTGCCTCCCCAGGGGAAAGTGCTAGTGGTCCTCAGAGGCTCTGCAGAGAACATAGTCTTAGGAACTGCTGGATCCGCATCTCCACACAGCAGGAAATGCGGAGTGAGCTGTACAGGAGCTACCAGACTGGAGAGCTACCAGAAAAGACAGATCTCCACGGAGACTGCCAGCCACCGAGTGGAAATTGGCACAAAATAATTTGATTTAAGCGAATTTACACTTTTAACGGGAAAGGAGACACTAACTTGGAAAATACAGTCAAATTCTGTATTAGTCTAAAAGTAGCACGGCATAAGTCAGGCGTCTGCAATGTAATTCGCATGTGTATTCAGTGTAGTCTCCTGGAGCCTCGGCTCTCACACTGGAGAATGTGCATACTAACAAGTTCCCAGATGACGAGATGGCTAGTCCGGGATCACACTATCACAACCACCGTCACAGAGTGTTTTTCACCACCCAGTCACAAACACACAGGCTTATGGCATCTCTAACTTTTTACACTCAAATTACATTTGGGGTTTTAAAAATTTAACTACAACTAAGTCCGAGCCATTTCGCTGACAGTACTGGTTCAAATTACGCTTCTTTTCAGAGATAACCGAAGCCAACAAAATTCGACGTTCGCTCGGGTCTCGCTTGGCACTTGCTGTTGCCTTTTCCTCAGGCTGCTCTGCGAACCGAGAAAGGCCGCAGCATCCGCAGCAGCCACAGCTAAGGGGCAGGCGCTCGCCCCGCTGCTAAACGAAGAGCTCCGAGGTCACCCAGAGGCACGAGCGGCAGCGGCGGGACCGCGGCCCCCACCCCGCGGAGCCCCTGCGGCCTCCTCGGCCTCCGCGCCGTTCTCCCGCGAGACCCGCCGGGGCCGAACCCGCAGCCCAGCCCGCCGCACAAACACACCCGACCGTGTGGACTCACGTCCCGGGTCGCCAGTCTGCTTTTCCAGAAAGACACCGGCCTACGCCGGCCGGAGAAGAGAGCCAGCCGCCCGCCCCGCCGCCCCGCGCTCAGCGCGCGCCGGGCCTCTGACCGCGGCTCATCGACTCGCTCGGCCCGCGGCTGTGCGTCCCTCCCGCGCGCGCCGCTGATTGGCCCCGCCGAGGGGGCGGGGCCGGCCTCTGCTCGCCGGTTTTCGGATGGGGGATTTCTTTTACTTTCTTCAGTGGAACGCTCTGCAAATGAAAGGAATCATGGGTGTATACGAAGCGTATTTTCGTACTATTCATTTATTTTATAAGTTCGAATGTGTAACATTTGCAATAAAACCGGAAATCTGTGTCGAGCATGAGTTTTAAAATAGGGGATAATGAATGACAACACAAGTCCTACAGTGAAGATGGGCGAGGGACAGGTTTGCACAGTATAGAGTGGTTGGAAATAGTAAGTTTTGTTTGGTTTTTGTCTTTAACTGCTGGTCTTGCAATCTCAGGAAACTCTCCAAAGAGATGTCGAGTTTTTCCAGAGCCGTACACAAAAGTACATTAATTGGCAACAAATTTAAAAGTATGTTATAATTTGGTATATAATTCAGTACACTGGAGTGTGCATGTTGCTTACTATTTTTTTAAATTAAAATACACATGACATAAAATTTACCATCTTAACCATTTATTTTTAAGGGTACAGTTCAGTAGCATTAAGTCCATTCACATTGTTATGCAACCATCACCACCAGCCATCTCCAGAACTCTTTTCATCTTGCAAAACTGAAACTCTGTACCGATTAAACAGTAACTCCCCATTACCCCTCTCTCCAGCCCCTGGCGACCACCATTCTACTTTTTGTCTCTACGAACTTGACTGCTCTAGATACCTCACATAAGTGGAATCATGCAGGTTTGTCGTTTTGTGATTGACTTATTTTGCTTAGCACAAGGTCCTCATGATTCATACATGTTGTAACGTGTCAGAATTTCCTTTATTAAGGATGAATAATATTCCATTGTATGACTATGCCACAGTTTATCCATTCATCACCCAATGGACATCTGGGTTGTTTCCAGCTTTCGGTTATCATGAAATAATGCTGCTAACAAACACAAATGTACAAATATGTTTACTTCCCTGCATTCAATTACCCAGAAGTAAAATTGCTAGATCATATGCAAATTCTATTTTTAATTTTTTGAGCAACTGCCATACCGTTTTCCATAGTGGGGCACCATCTTACATCCCCACCAACAGTGCACAAGGAAGGGTTCCAATTTTTCCACATCCTCGCCAACACTTTTCTGTTTTGTTTTGGTTTTTTATAGTAGTCATCCTAATGGGTGTGAGGAGGTATCTCATTGTGGTTCTGATTTGCATTTCACTAATAACCAGTAATGCTGAGCATCTTTTCATGTGCTTATTGGCCTTTTGTGTATCTTCCTTAGAGAAATGTCTATTCAAGTCTTTTATTTTTTATTTATTTATTTTTTTAAAGATGACCGGTAAGGGGATCTCAACCCTTGGCTTGGTGTTGTCAGCACCAGGCTCAGCCAGTGAGCAAACCGGCCATCCCTATATAGGATCCGAACCCAGGGCCTTGGTGTTATCAGCACCGCACTCTACCGAGTGAGCCACGGGCCGGCCCTCTATTCAAGTCTTTTGCCTATTTTTTATTCAGAGTTTTTTGTTGTTGCACTTTAAGAGTTCTCTATATATTCTGGATATTAACTCATCAGATAGGATTGGCAAATACGAGGGATCTTCAAAAAGTTCATGGACAGGGCCGGCCCGGTGGCGCTCCCGCCGAGGGTTCGGATCCCACATGCAGACCGGTTCCCGCTCACTGGCTGAGCGAGGCGCGGGAGCAACGCCGAGGGTTGCAATCCCGTTGCCCGTTGCCGGTCCCCGGTCCGGTACGGGGGCAACACTGAGGGTTGCGATCCGTTGCTGGACACGGAAAAAAGACAAAAAAAAAAAAAAAAAAGTTCATGGACAGATTTGTATTATTTTTTGATTCCATTTTTCCACGAACTTTTAAAAGTACCCTCATATTTTCTTCCATTTTGTGGGTTGCCTTTTCACTCTGTTAATTGTGTTCGTTGGTTTATTACAATTTTTAAAAAATAGATTAAACATTAAAAAAAAAAAATTTGAATCAGACCTCTAAAGCTCCCACCTGGGAAGAGTTAAGAACCTCTGTTAACACCTTCCCCCTTCCACTCTCCTTCCTCACACCCCCAACTGAGAAGGTCTCAGAGATTGTAGATAATTCAGTCCTCTCATTTCCTGTTTTATGTAAACCTTGAAGAATCTATTTACCCCCATGAAGAAGACAGTGTGGAGGCATGGGAGAAAAGGACATATATAACCAGAAACTTATTGAAATAAATAAAACAATTTCTAGTGCTCATTATTTAATGCTCTACAATAAAATAAATTCCAAACCTTATATCTAGGAGGATCATAAAAATTTTCTCTTTGACTGTGATTAAGTTGGAATACATAATTTTATCAACATTTCTTACTATGAGGTTGAACTGGTCTATATTTAAAAATTGCTCTTTTTTCTAGTTTTAATCTTAACACAAATGACCTGCTATAATATCTAACGTGAAATTAAGCTTGAAAGTAACTAAAAAGACTGATTTATTTTTAGCAGAACTTCCTACTGCATGCCTGAGAGGTAGAAAAACTGTACCTATTGAATACCCACAGCTAGATTTCATTTCTTTCTATGATGAAGCACTCAAGTCAATGTATGTGAAGTCTGAGATAGAATTTGTACATTTTTCCAGGCTTTTATTAATTAACTTTCACAATATATTAAGGAAAGAAAATTCTCTAAATCTTGTACAAAAGGTAGAAGATGCACAAAAATTATGTAGTTGCCAATGGCTGAAAAGCAAATTAGTAGAACTTTAGAAGGAAATGTGAGAAACTGATTATGGGGTTCATCCACTGGTCGACACTTCCTCCAAGTAAACTAGAAAAATAACATTCTATCCCTGAACTGGCCAGACACACACACACACACACACACACACACACACAAAAAGAGAGAGAGAGAGAAAGAAGGAACGAAGAAAAACATTCTAAATTGAAAGCCACAGACTCTGAGGAACAGAAATAGTTTTAGGTGTTAAGAGGTCTTTATTGAAATAATAACACAGTTACACTTCTAATACCCTTTCCACTTGTATACAATAGATTAAAAATGCTTGCTACATACAGTGCACACATAGTTCAATAATATGAACCAATACAATTGCATTTGAAATAAATAAAATAGCCTATTTAATAATTTAAAGTAAGATTACTGTACAATATGAAAATAAAGATACATAAATGTTAGCATCTACAATGCCGTAGAAATAAAATTATCATTCTGCATTACACAAAACGGTGCAAGAAAAAAACCCAAATAAGCTTTTGAAGTGCAAAGTTTAAATTTTCATTTTAAATTATCATGCAGACATAGCATTTCAAGCCATGCTATGGTCTATGGCAAAGTTTTTAATTTTTAAGAGGAAAAATTCTAGCCAGTAAATTTACTGTACCATCAAGTGTCGCATCACATACCTGCTGCTGCTCTGCTTCTATAGTACAGTTTGGAAGGGAGGTATCTTGTTGCATTCAAAAAAATTGAAATTAATAAGTTTCTGAAGCAAACACATTTACCCTTCAGTCTGAAATAAAATTATGTGACAAAACAGTAATCCTATCACTGGGTTTAAGAAAACAGAAAAGGCCTATACTTCACCATGAACTAAGAAATAGTTTTCCATTCATTTTTAAACTCCATAATAATCCTTAAGTGAAAACAACCATGTAACTTTTGAGAGACAGAAAATCCTGACTTCTAGAAGACTGTGGTACAATAATGGGATTGTGAGAAGAGCAAAAGTAATTTCTGAAAACCTATGTTTAATTTGGGTAGAACTTGTTTGCACTACATTGTAATAATAGGCTTAAGGTATAATTCAATTTCAATGTGTATATAAAATTGTTATTTAGGCAAAGACCAGGAATGCATTTTAATACTAAACCATAAACCCATCGTCCACCTTGGAGTGCACACTGACAAGATAAGAGCTCTTCCGCAGACTTTGGCAATGAGACTACATAGAGCAGGTCACAGCAGCACGAGCTCACATGGAAGACTGAACGCACTGCAGAAAAACACCACCCAACACCTTCCTATCAACAGGATACATGGTAATAAACGGCCTCCTCGTGCTAAACCATTTTCCTGGACATTCTATGTTCTTCAGATCTATAATTTTCATAACTCAGTAGTCTTAAGCCTCTGTGCTTTCATTGCATACACTGACATGGGGTGCACTCTATCCATTGTAAGTCCAGAGAGTTACAGTTCTGTCTGCAGAGGATGACAGGAAGGAAAGATCCTGGGTATGCCATCTGCACTGAATCACTTTGTCCTTGTGCTCCCCCACCACCATGATAGGAAGCTGCTTAGTGAGGTCCCCTAAATCAAAAAAGAAAAGAGATATTGATGTAAAATACAAAATAAGTATATGTATAGATTTTACATACTTCCTGTTACTTTAAGTCACAGTATAAAAAATCCTAAACTACATTAATACAAGGGTACTTCAAAAAGTTCATGGAAAAATGGGATTAAAAGATAATACGAATCTTTCCCTGAACTTTTGAACACCCTTGTATGATATGCTGAAAAATTTACAAAGGGACAAATTACTGAATACCTCCTTATGTTACTAGTATTGGCAACATATACACAGCAACATTTGACACAGTTGAAACTCTCTCAACTCGATTTTTCCCTGATTTCAGTGCCACTCCATCTTGGTCTCCTTTGCTGGTTTCCCTTCTCTTCCTAATTCTTCCTGGTGAATCCCAGGGGTCAGCCCTTAAATTTCTTCTGTTCCCTCTGTACCTTACTTCCTACAAAATTTCATCTAGAACCATGGCCATTTATATACTTATGATTCACACATTTTATCTCTAATCTTGACTTCTCACCTGAGCTCCAGACTAGAATCCAAATAATCATTCAGCACCTCACTTGATTGCTTGAGAGGCATCTTAAATTTAA